ACACGGGGACAGCCGGGGGGACATGGGCACAGCATGGGGACATGGGGACAGCATGGGGACATGGGGACAACAGGGTTAATGGGGACACAGGGGACAATGGGGACATTGGGGACAACGGGGATATAAGGCCAATGGGGGCAGTAGGGACAATGGGAATTTAGGGGACATTGGGGGACAATGGGGACAGTGAGGACAGTGGGGATATATGTCACCATGGCACCATGGCACCGTGTCACCATGGCACCATGGCGCCATGTCACCATGTCACCACATCACCGTGTCACCATGTCACCATGGCACCATGGCACCGTGTCACCATGGCACCATGTCTGCGTGTCACCATGGCACCGTGGTGCCGTGGCACCATGGCACAGTGTCACCATGGTGCCATGGCACCATGTCACCATGACACCATGGTGCCACGTCACCATGTCACCATGGTGCCATGTCACCGCGTCACCATAGCACATTGTCACCGTGTCACCATGGCACCGTGTCACCATGGCACCATGTCACAGTGTCACCTCCACCCCCCCAAACATGGCAGCCGTGGTGACACCACCCCCCGTGGTGGCACTGGGTGCCTCCGGCTTTGCCGGCAGGCTTGGTGTCCCCAATGCTCCATGGTGACACCGACCCCACCTGGGTGACACTGACCCCGCCTGGGTGACACTGACCCCACCTGGGTGACACTGACCCCACCCACCCAGGTGACACTGATCCATTTGGGTGTCCCTGAATTCTCTTGGGTGACACCAACCACAGGTGGGTGACACCGACCCCAGCTGGGTGACACTGCCCCACCTGGATGACACCGACCCCAGCTGGGTGACACTGACCCCACCTGGATGACACTGACCCATCTGGGTGACACCGACCCCCCCCAGGTGACACCACCCCACCTGGCTGTCCCCAGCCAACCCACTTGAGTGTCCCCATCTGCAGGTGACCCCCACCACGTCCCTCCCCAAAGTCACCTTGTCCCCCCGAGGTGGCCATGTCCCCCCACGGTGGCCCTGTCCACCCTGTGGTGGCCTTGTGTCCCCCTGAGGTGACCGTGTCATCTGTTGAGGTGGCCTTGCCCCCCTTCAGGGTGGTGGCCATGTCCACCCATGATGGCCATGTCCCTCCAAGGTGGCCTTGTCCCCTGTGTGGTGGCCATTTCCCTCCCTGTGTTGGCCTTGTCCCCACCCTGTGGTGGCCGTGTCCCCACCCTGTGGTGGCCATGTCCCCCTACCCGAGGTGGCCTTGTCCCCCCCGAGGTGGCCGTACCCATCTTGATGACCGTCAGGACCTCCATGACGTAATTGTCGTGGGACGGGGTCTCCTCGCGGGCCACCACCCTCACCTTGTACACTGCCAGGGGACACGGGGACAGCGCTGTCACCCCCGCCAGCGTGGTCCTTCCGCCTCCCCTGTCCCCACCGTGTCCCCAATGTCCCTAATGCCACCCGCCATGACCCTTTATCATCTGATGTCCCTGATGTCCCCCAAGTCCCCATTGTTCCCATTGTCCCCCAACGTTCCAATATCCCCAATGTCCCCAACGTCCCCAATCTTCCTAATGTCCCTGATGTCCCCAATGTCCTTGATGTCCCCAATGCCCTCAATGCCCTCAATGCCCTCAATGCCCCATTGTCCCCAACATCCCCGATGTCCCCGAAGCCTCCATTGTCCCTATTGTCCCCAACACCCATAATGCCGCTGATGTCCCCAATGCCCCTGACGTCCCTGATGTCCTCATTGTCCCCAGTCTTCCCAGTGTCCCCGATGTCCCCATCGTCCCCCAATGTCCCCATTACCCCCAATGTCCCCCTTGTCCCCACTGTCCCCGATGTCCCTGATGTCCCCATTGTCCCCAATGTCCACATTGTCTCCAATGTCCCCATTGTTCCCAATGCCCCCAATGTCCCCAATGCCCTGCTGTCCCCAGTGTCCCCATTGTCCCCCAATGTTCCCATTGACCCCAATGTCCCCATTGTCCCTAGTGTCCCCATTGTCCCCACTGTCCCCATTGTTCCCAATGTCCCTGATGTCCCCAATGCCCCGTTGTCCCCAGCATCCTGAATGTCCCCAATGCCCCCATTGTTCCCATTGTCCGCAATGTCCCCAATGTCCCCATTGCCCCCAATGCCCCCACTGTCCCCCAATGTCCCCATTACCCCCAATGTCCCCATTGTCCCCACTGTCCCCATTGTCCCCAATGTCCCCATTGTCCCCGGTGTCCCCAGTGTCCCCATGTCCCCATGTCCCACCGAAGTCCACCCCGGGCTCGCAGGCCCGCTCCATGCGTTGGTTGACGGTGATGGCCTCGGGCTTCTCCTGGCGCTTGAAGCAGCTCTCTGTGGGGACACGGGGACATCGTGGGGACATTGTGGGGATATCATGGGGACATCACGGGGACACAGCCATGACAAGGTGAACTGTGGCAGGGACGTGTCCCCATCACAGTCATGGCATGTGACATCTCATCAGTGACATGTCCCTTCCAGGGTCATGACATGTCCCACCATGGTAGGGACGTGTCCCCATCGTGGTGACATGTGACATCTCATCACTGATGTGTCCCCAGCAGGGTCATGACATGTCCCACCATGGTAGGGATGGGTCCCCATCATGGTGACATGTGACATCTCATCACTGATGTGTCCCCAGCAGGGTCATGACATGTCCCACCATGGTAGGGATGGGTCCCCATCATGGTGACATGTGACATCTCATCACTGATGTGTCCCCAGCAGGGTCATGACATGTCCCACCACAGCAGGGACATGTCCCATCGTGGTCATAGAGTGTGACAGTTCCTCAGGGACGTGTCCCACCATGGCCGTGACATGTCATGACCATGATGTGTCCCACCATGGCCGTGACGTGTCCCATCACAGCAAGGTGTCCCCTCCTGGCCATGACATGTCCCATCATGAGGGTGACACATCCCCACCATGACTATGACTTGTCCCCACCATGGCCATGATGTGTCCCCATCGTAGTGACATGTGACATCTCATCAATGACGAGTCCCCACCATGGCCATGATGTGTCCCCATCGTAGTGACATGTGACATCTCATCAATGACGAGTCCCCACCATGGCCATGACATGTCCCCATCGTGGTGACATGTGACATCTCATCAATGACGAGTCCCCACCATGGCCATGATGTGTCCCCATCGTAGTGACATGTGACATCTCATCAATGACGAGTCCCCACCATGGCCATGACATGTCCCCATCGTGGTGACATGTGACATCTCATCAATGACGTGTCCCCACCAGGGTCATGCTTTGTCCCACCACTGCAGGGACATGTCCCCATCATGGCCATGACGTGTCCCATCATGGCCATAATGTGTCCCCTCACATCAATGCGTCCCACCACGACCATGACATGTCCCCCCCATGGTGACATGCGATATCTCATCAGTGATGTGTCCCACCATGGCCATGATGTGTCCCATCACATCAGTGTGTCCCACCATGACCATGACATGTCCCCATCATGGTGACATGCGACATCTCATCATTGATGTGTCCCATCATGGCCATGACGTGTCCCCAC